GTCAGCAGTGCCACGTCAGCAACAGTGCCACGTCAGCAGTGCCACGTCAGCAACAGTGCCACGTCAGCAACAGTGCCACGTCAGCAGTGCCCCGCCACCATGATGGGCGCCACTCTGGGCATGCCAGGCCAACTGGCCAACGAGTCTATTGCCAACTACAAACAGCGGTTCCAGACTCAGCTCGCACTGATCGAGACTGAGGAACAGCGCCAGCTGGCAGCCGAGGCTGCCCGCCTACAGGCTGAAGCAGCGGCAACAGCTGAGAAGCAGCGGCTTCAGGCCGAAGCAGATGCAGATACCCAGGCACGCCGAAAGGAAGCCCAGGATCTGCTGCAGCGGCATGAAGCCGCCAGCATCGAAAGACTCAAGTATTGGCATTTTGAACCATCCGAGGAGCACGACGACGCGACACCGACGGAGCAGCAGAGGGAATTCATGGCCAAACCCGTGACTCGGTTGGTTTACACTTGTAACCACCTGCAGTCCGAGCTGGCGAATATGCAGCAGGCCATGCGGAACCACAAGGCTCAGAATGAGGATGCAACACGGGCATTTGATTCCCGGATGCAGGACTTGGAGCAAGTTGCACCAAGACCGGAGGCTGGCGAGTCCAGCAATGCACCCTCTGCCCGCCAACTGGAGCAACGCGTCGACCACATCGTCGCAATGCTCGGCGACATCAACACCTTCGCTGCGCCAACCACCATCAGCAAACAACGGGATACCTTGAAGACCGAGGTTCAGCAACTGCAGCTGCCTAACAAGGATGGCAACAAAACAACGCATTATAAGATGCCGATATTCCAAATTGAGAACTTCGATGACTACACGCATCAAGACCCGGTCCTCTGGTGGGAAGGCTTTACGACGCAACTGCGGATTCTGTTCGTCGCCAAGCACGGGTACATCGGCGCCCTGTTTCTCAACTCAAAGGGCGGATGCCAGACCTAGTTAAGCCACCTCGCATCCACCCACGGCTTTGACGTCGCAGATCTGAAAGACAAGATCTCATGGGAAGAGTTAACACGGCTATGGAAGAAGCGGTTCATCGTGGACGACGCACCTACACTCGCCATCAACCGTCTCTTCGGCATGACACAAGGCAACACAGCAACACGTACCTGGCTCGCGGAATGGTAGAAGATCGCGGCAACGCCAGGTCTCGACTTACCATTTTCTCATCTGCGCCGCGAGTTCTACAACAGGTCATGTGCAGCATTGAGCCTTGCACTTGGTGATCGCGAGCAATATGCAACCTTCGCTGAAATCATTGACAAGGCAAGGGAGATCATCAAGACCAACAGGGCAGCTGCACACGAGAAGTCAACGTGGCAGCCAACCTATATGGAGAAGGTGAAAACTGGTCCGCGACCGCAGCAGTTCGTTGCAGTCCAATCGGAAAACATTAAGGAAGACCCGGCAGCCACCCAAGCGTCACGTGAGGGAGATCAGGTGGTTGCTGTCCAGCCGCGAAGCAACAACAAGTCCCGAGGAAACGGGAAGGCGAAAACCGCATCGCCGGCCGGAAACGGACAGCCAGCACCATGGGTCAAGTTTCACTTGATCGAGGCCGAGTACAAGTACCGCGGCCGCTACGGCTGCTGCTATTGGTGCAATAGCACCAAGCACAGGACCTCCCTGTGCCAGGATCAGGGCAAGGAGGATGTTCGGTCTCGTATCAACTCGGGAAACTGAATTCCACGGGAGGTGAGGCGACTCCACCTCCCACTCCGCCAGATTCGGCCACCTACACATCTGGGGAGGATGCGAATGTCGTAAGTTCTCGGTATGCTTACGAGGACTATGTTGTCCACTTGGTCCCACCGCTCGACCAACCACTCCACGTGCAACAATCTACCACATGCACAGTTTTATCGCAATCGGCAACCGATTCGGCAGCTTCGCGGCCATCTACCGCCGGGGATTCAACGTCATGGTCAAGACTTGAAGAGCTCGACCCGTTGACATTTGCGGACTTTCAATGGATGCCCCTTCCCCGGTCCGGTCGATTGCCGAAACCGCATTGCAACGTGCTCATGGCACAATTGCGGAATTACTTGCACACTGCAGTACCAACTCCGTTGATGGACGCCGGAGTAGAGGTTGTCGACCTTCACGCCTATATTGCGAAGATCGACCGCGAGTTAAAGACACAACGGTACGACGACATCGACGCACCATTGTTATATGTACGCATTCAGATCGGAGAGGCGACCTACAACGCTTTGATCGATTGCGGAGCATCTCGCAACTACATGACCCAGGACTTTATGGTACGCGCCGGCCTTGGCCCACGCGTCCGTAAGAAGTTCCAGCCGACGCAAGTCACATTGGCGGACGGTCACACGCACAAGTCAATAGACCGGTGCATTGATGGTCTCCCCGTGTACTTTGCCCCACACGCGAGCGAGGCGGTGTCCTTCGATATTTTGGACACCAAATTTGACATGATCTTGGGCATGTCATGGCTGCGAAGCGAGAATCACCCGGTGAACTTCTACCGCCGCACCGTTCACATTCGTGATCGGAACGGAGTACTAGTCCCATGCACGGTAGCTCCTCCTCACCCTTGTCACGTGGTGTCCGCCGCAAGCATGCGAGCTTCCACCATTAGAGACGACATTGAGGAGAGGGGGGGGTGTTTTCTCCATGCCCTCCCGCCCCATAACGCTTCATCGACGGACTCATCTTCGGACCCACGCATCACCGAGCTTCTCGACGCCTACGGCGACGTGTTCGAAGGCCCGCACGGAGTAGTACCGGATCGGCCCATCCGCCACGAGATCATCCTTGAGGACGGGGCCGTACCTCCGCGCGGTTGCATCTACCGAATGATCGAGGAAGAGTTAAGTGTGCTTCGAGCACAACTCGACGACCTTCTGGAGAAAGGCTGGATTCGGCCTAGCTCATCGCCATACGGTGCTCCTGTTCTCTTCGTCCAGAAGAAGAACAAGGATTTGCGGTTGTGCATGGATTATCGCAAGCTCAACGCGCAAACGATCAGAAACACCGGCTCTCTCCCACGCATCGACGACCTTCTCGAATGACTGGGCGGCGCCAAGTTCTTCTCCAAGCTGGACCTCAAGTCGGGATATGACGAACTCGAGATTCGGAAGGAGGACCGCTACAAGACCGCATTTAAGACGCGATATGGGCATTTCGAATGGTTGGTTATGCCATTTGGCCTTACGAATGCCCCGGCCACTTTCCAAGCGGCTATGACAACGGAGTTCCGACACATGCTGGATCGATTCGTACTTATCTACCTCGACGGCATCCTAGTGTACAGTCGGAGTTTGGACGAGCATGTGGAACACCTGCGCACCGTTTGGAGCAACGACAAGCCAAGTACAAAGCCAACCACGACAAATGCGAATTCGCGCGGCAGGAGCTGGAGTACTTGGGACATTATGTAACGCCGCAAGGCATCCGTCCGCTTGCGGACAAGATCGAGGCCCTCCGCGTATGGCCCGAGCCCACCAACACCACGGACGTTCGTTCATTCATGGGGTTGGCGGGCTACTATCAGTGATTCATCACCGGGTACTCAAGGATTGTTGCATCTATGACGAGATTACAATCGCCAAATGTGCCATTCGTATTCAATGACGACGCACGCCGGTCATTCCAAGCACTCAAGACGGTCATGCTCATAGTACCCGTCCTTAGCATCTATGACCCCACCCTGCCTACGAGAGTGACAACTGACGCTTCCGGCTATGGCATTGGGGCAGTCTTGGAACAACACGACGGCGACGACTGACACCCTGTGGAGTATTTCAATCACAAAGTGTCTCCCATCTATTCGCTTGATGATGCAAGGTAGAAGGAGATGCTCGCGTTCGTGATGGCTCTCAAGCGATGGCGGCACTTCCTCCGGCGGCACTTCCTCCGGCGGCACTTCCTCCGGCGGCACTTCCTCCTTGGGCGTCGTAGGTTCACATGGGTTACGGACAACAACCCACTGACTTATTACAAGACGCAGGATACGGTGAGCAGCACGATCGGACGATGGATGTACTTCATCGACCAATTTGACTTCACACCGAAACATCTTCCAGGCCTCTCCAATCGCGCAGCAGATGCACTCTCGCGAAGACCTGATCTTTGCGCTATGACACATCATGCCTTCGCATTCGACGAGGAACTTCAGCGACACTTCATCCGGGGATATGAGTCGGATCCGGACTTCGCCACGTTGTATGCGCAGCTATCTTCGGATCACCCGCCGGCCAGCCGCTATCGCATTGCCAACGGCCACTTGCTCCTCCACTCGAGAGGCAAGGACTTATTGCGTGTCCCACGAGACCGTCGTCTTCGGACTCGCCTTCTCGGTGAGTATTATGACTCGCGACTCGCCGGCCATTTCGAAGTCAACCGCACCATTGCACGGCTTCGACAACGATTCCGATGGCCCGACCTCATTACCGATGTCACTCGGTATTGCGACTCTTGCGAAGTTTGCCGACGAAGCAAGCCCCGCAATCGTAACCCCTACGGCGAATTGCGCCCGATGCCTATCCCACGGGAACCCAGCCTCTCCATTGCCATGGATGTCACCGGACCATTTCCTTGCGATCGCCTCGGGCACGACGGCATCCTCACGGTTGTGGACTGTTTGAGTAAGTATACGCGTTTTCTCCCTTGCAAGTACTACTCCACGGCTCCCGAGCTGGCACGCCTCTTGCACACCGGTTGGATTTGTGGCCACGGTGTACCGGAAGACATAATCAGCGACCGCGACACTCGCTCCATGTCGGCATTTTGGACTGCTCTCATGCAGGAGTCCGACACGAAGATGAAACCAAGTTCGGCTCGGCATCCACAGACGGACGGGCAAACGGAGCGGGCACATCAAACCGCTCAAATCATGCTTCGTACGCTTATCCGTCCGGACCAGAAAGATTGGGTTGACCGCCTCCCCGACATCGAGTTCGCCTACGACACTTCGGTGCACCCGACGATCAGCGTGACTTCATTTGAGTTGCACCACGGTGGACGGAAAGGCCGTATCTTCGTCGACCTTCTCCTCCCACGACCAGCCGACATTGACGCCGCTTGCTCTCCCGCTTCCGTCCGGAAGTATAGGGAATTGCTGGCTCAAGCCTGCTCAAACATGCAAAAGGCTCAAGTCCGCATGCAGCAGCAAGCCAACAGGCGTGGCGTGCCATGTCCCATCCGCGCCGGTGATCTGGTTTGGGTCTCCGCAGAAGAGTTTGCACTGGAACAGGATGTTTCACGCAAACTGCTTCCCAAGTGGTTTGGACCATGGCCCGTAACATCAGCCGCGGGCGATGAGCCCGATGACCCTTCGTTTGTGATCAACATCCCGGCGCATCTAACGGTCCATCCTGTCTTTCATGCCTCGAAGCTGGCAACATATACACCAGCTAAGAGCGACGACTTCCCAGGCCGACGATCGCAGGACCCTCCATCTATGGATGGTCATCAAGAAGTTGACCGCGTGATCACGGATCGCAAGTACGGCAACAAGCCTTGCCAGTACAAAATTACATTCAGAGCATGCGATCCCGACGACACTCGGTGGATTTCAGGAACAAATTTGAAAGCATCCGCACCACTGATCTACGCTCACTACGAGCGACAGAGGTTAGCTCAGGGACCTTCACGACCTGCCCCTCCCACCCAGACTGTGGTCCCTCCCTCAGACAGACAGCTTCGCCCTCGCAGGTAAGCTCGGTTTTTCAAGGATGGGGGGGTGTGGCATACTGCGTAGCCACACGGGCCTACAGGGCCCGTCCCGCATTTCCAGCCTAAAAGCCTAGAGATAAGGGCTTACAGGCCCCTGTCGTTTCATCCTGAAAGACTGAAAAACGAGGGCCTGCAGGCCCTATGTCGTTTCAGCCTAAAACAGGGCTTTTCAGCCCTGAGGCTTTTCAGCCTGAAACGGAGGGCCACTTTCGGGCCCTCATAAGATCGACCTACCCTAAGACTCAGGCACAAAACCAGGGTTTCGGGAACAGGCTATCTTTATCCTGTTTCCCATGACAGCCTCAAGCAGGAGCTGCAGCGGCAGCCTCTGACTCCCTGCGGCATTGGCAAGAGCAGCCTCCTGGACTGCCTCGCCCTGCAGTCAGGAGGCACCCGAGTAGTACATAGGAAGTTCCCATGCACTTCACGGGTAGGTAGTTGGACAGTAGGCACGAGTAGTCTTCAGGATTCGGCCGCAGCACTCAGGAGGARCGCTGCAGTAGTAGTTAGCGCTAGCAGTAGTCTTCAGCGCTGGGCGCTCATAGCTGCAGGAGTAGTCTTCAGCGCAKGGCGCTAGTAGCTGGTAGTGGTAGCGYTGGAGAGAGATGGCTGGYGGAGGCCAGCGGTACTTACCTGTGGCGCCATAGCTCCAGCTCSATCTTCGAGGTACCTGCATCAAGGCGCCATCTTYACAGGTTAGTACTGGACAYASAGAGAGAGAGAGTTCTTCTTCTTCCTCTTCTAAGTCCACCATCTCTTCTTCACCCTCTCACCACCTGACTTCTCAGTATCGGCAGACTACTACAGAGAGAGAGAGAGAGAGTTGTGACTTGAGACTTGACGACATTGGATCCAGACTCGACATTGGGATTCAGACATTTTGACGAGGGACTATTTGGGCCTGTGCCGAAAACTCGGCGTTGACGACATTCCCATCTTCCCCTCTTCTTCGTCTAACCCCCCTCTTCTTCGTCTGTGTATGGTTGGGGCTGGCGCAGTCTTCCTGTGTGAAGCACCCGAGCCCTTCACACCAGGGAATGATGATGATGATGTATGTTCGGGGCTGCATTGCAATATTGATTGTTCGGATCATTGGTATCTAAGTCTTCCGCTACGCTATCTTGCACTTTGTATTGAGAGGTCGGTTCTTGTTCTGGTCTGCACCGTTACAGTATGCAACACCCAGTGAGAGTATGCTCTGAGCTGGAATAGCATATAGTCCAATCCCAGTGAATATTTTCGCCAGTTTTCTTTGATTTCAAAAAAGAAATAAGTTAACTGATGTTGGCAAGATGAGCCGGCCCTGGGATCAGTCCCTCAGATCCTTCCGAGCGATTTGGCTCGAATAACACCACCTAATTACTCCCTGCGAAAACTTTTGCCTTTTTTATTTTTATTTTTAAAAGCGACTGAAACAACCAGTCAGTGGCAGTCACCGATCAATTTATTATCAAACGATCAATTGATTATGATGACTGTCCCCTGTACACCTCTCTCTCTCCTGCACACTTGTTGTACACGACAAGAGCAAACCCTCCTCAACATACTGCAGCGGGCGGGGTTCTTCACTGCCATTCTACTCCGCTTGAGAGTTTCCCCTCTCTCACATTGGAAGGGCAAAACTTGTTTAACATTATCCCCTCCCGTACAGTAGAGGAAGACCAGGGTATAAATAATAATAATAATAATAATAATAATATAATGAGAACAATAAAATGAAATAATATTAATAGTAAGAGTAAGTTAGCAATAATAATAATAATAATCAATATATCACAAGCAATAATGCTAAAAATTGAATTTAATATTGTTGATAATAAGGAAAAACAGTGACTAGCGTTGAAAGTCGAAAGGGAGAACCGAGGTGTTAGGTGTATGAACGAGAGCGTAAGGGGGTCCGAAGGAGGAGTCGAGGGGCGGTGCAGTGGAAGGGACATCGCAAGCAGGCAAGCAAGGAGGGTAACGAAATTAGTGACAGCGGGAGGTCTGAGAAAGGACTCGGATCGTTGGTGAAGTAGGGTATTGGAGCGAGATGAGGCGGGACCGCAACAGAAGGGGAGGAGGGCATTAGTCGAAGAGGACAACGATAAAAAGTCCGGTGGAGGTGTGGAGACGCACAAGTCGGATAGGGATAGCATTTGCGACACGGGGAAGGACACGTGTTGAGGGAGGGAGAAGTGGCCGCGATGGCGGTAACGAATGCTACAGTAGGGCAAAAGAGTGGGAAATGGGGACGGGCTAGAGAAGGCAAAGAGCTTGAGTTTTTTTTTAGGGTAGAGTTCAGTGACTGGGATGTTGGGTAGTACCAGGATGGCAATGAGGGGATTGGGATGCGGGTGGGGGATGGGAGGGTATCTTGACGGAAATGGGGGAGTGCAGCGGTGACGACTTTGGTGGCTAAAGTGGAAAGCTTGAGATAGGATAGCGGGAAGGATGCAGGGAGGAAAGCTTATAACGAAAAGGGGGGGGGGGG